TAATGTTAAAGCCAACCTGCATAAGTCTTTTAACCCCACTTTTTTCGTGACTCCCGCTACGGTACTCTTTTTTCTTGTATTGAAACTTGTCAGACAAACAATCGAATAAATATGCAATATTATAGTATGTGAATATGGTGTACATTTTGCGGACAAATATTATGTACACATCCGTTTTTTCCTTTTATGTAACACACTACCGTCATGCTATCCCACATTCGTATTTATGTAAGGGACTCACTAACCTGATCAGTGGTATAATAAATAATATTAAATGTGAATATGGTTATTTAATGGAAAGAATTTATGGCGTAAACATGTTTTAGACATGCTATGGTTTCCCAGCTTTATCCCGCACATCCATTTCTTTCTCACCCACCAGTTTATTAACATGTTTTTAGTGTATTTTAGTTAGCCGTTCTTGTGTATTTGTATTTGTTTGTTTGTTAGTTAGAATATTCATTTTACGACGGCTGATTGTTAATTTTACTACGCCCGCAAAATTTTCTAATCTAATGTACATCTTGCTTTATTTGGTGGTTGTTTATTGATTTCTGCTCAAAATTAAAATGTGTTCAAGGGTCCAAAAGAATCGGCAGATTTTATTGTTGTTGTTACATTTTATTTCAGTCAAAACTTTAATTCTCATTGATGGAATGTCAGTTAAACGTTTTGCAACTATCTCGATTTTTGTGCAATTCTTTCAATTTTGTGCATGTTTAATCCTATCTTAATTGAAATGATATCTTCATGCAAGGAATTATTTGAAATATAAAATAGAATAAAATTCCAGAACACATAACCCAATGATCAAAATTACGAGGGCAAGAAGCATTTCTTTTTTTTTGATCGCGTGTAGTGTACATTCTTACATTGTTTATCTATCAATTGGGCAGTAATACAGAAGAAAAGAGGATCAGAATCTCTGTGTGAAGCGTGCACATTACATACATGTACACGCATAAAAACAGAAATCCATGAAGATGTATTTTGATTTAACGGTTTTCTGTCGCATATTTTTAAGTTTTTTTTTTAAAAATGAAAACGAGAATGAAATCGGATGGCGATTCTGTTTAACGTGGAGCTTTTTTACAGTGTTAGTCAATAAGAGTTTTCGCTTGTTACGGTTTCTTGATTTCTGTTTTTGGTGATCCATACAATAACTATTATAGGAATAGGATGAATATGAACTAGAAGAAATAGAAGGGAAGAATTATTCATTTCAAAGAGTTTCTCACGGAATGATGATAATGATAATAATAATAATTACCATAAATAAATGAAATTTATTATCCGATATGGAGATATAATTATCATCTATCACCTCAACGCTATCATCACCACGATTTCGGAATTCCCAAAATTAGTAACAATCGGTTGGATCTAGATGCCCGCTTCTAGATACCTTTGATGTGTCAATAAATAAAAAATAGGGTCGTCCGAAAAATTCCTTTGATAGTTGGATATAATCATTTTGAGAGATTGTCTACTTCTCGAGACTAATACAACGAAATTATGGTTCTTCTGACTTAATATTAATCGACTGTCGATAATACATTCCAACATTTATAACATTATGGCACGATGATCACTTCTAAATACCGCTACGCTCGGCTCTAAAATTTAATAAATTAACGAAAATTTGATGATACTAGTCTCTATTATCATGTGGTTAATAATAGCAATTATTAATCGATTGATTTTCTCTTTCCTAATTCCGTCCATATTTCACAAAAATATGAGCTTCGAATCTATGAGCTTCCGAATTATAGTCTCGGAGATAAGCCTTTTGATGCACTAACATCCTCTCTTCGATCAAAGAGATCGATTGACGATTTCAGGGAATCGCTGAATAATCGATATCCATTCATATGTCGCAAAGGAAAACTTCACTGAAGGACTTTTTGTATTAATTTTTAGGGTACTGAAAAGATGGATGTACGTGCTATATGGTGCAGGGGCGACGCATAACTGGATATAGAGCAAAAATAGACATATATTTATGCATGCACAACGAGAGTAAGAAATAGAGAGAGGAAAAAGGAGGTAAAATAGATAGATTCAAAGCAATGCAGAGCAAAATGGTCGAAAGGGGGGGGGGGGGGAATTGTGCATACATCTACCACATCATCATCGTCATCGTCGTCATCATCATCAGTAACTACTGTTAACCTTCCTAATACTTCTGATGCTTTTTTTAGATAAATCTTTCTGTATAATTGATAATAATCAATATCGCATAATTATAAAATTAAATACCTAATGTAACAATCTCGTGCTATATATGGCTAAATCACAAATGCATTATATTATTATAATACATGTATAAACACTATTAATAGGATATTTATGCAGTTCTCTTTCATTTATGAATTTCTAATATTGTGAAAATTTGTTCAAGGAAAATGTATATTTTCCCTTATTATTATTATTGTTGTTATTACAACTGCTATTGCGTGATAAAAACAATTGGATTTGATCTTGCTAATTTAGGGTATCTGGTCGTCTATTATGACTATCTTTGATTGGTTGAAGAACTGAGAATTGTATATTGCTACGATTATTAATTGTCGAGGAATATAAATGTATTGATAATAACAATAATAGAATACTAATATATTACAATGACAATATAGTAAAAATGGGGCCAAAATTCAGAAATAGTTCACAGCAACCCACCTGAAGGTGTAGATATTCAGCAAACATCACACAATAAAACAACGACAATAATAATTATAAACTTTACTTACACTTTTATGGGAAAATTCAAACTTTAGCTCCTCCCCCCTTTATTCTTCCTTCTTCTTTGCCTATAAAATTAGGTGCTTCCTTTCCAATCACGCGCATCAACTACTAGATTTAGAGTCTTTGCATGCTGTTGTGTGTGTACAATATGATAAATAATAAATAATACGTAGTAATAACTATTACTATAAGATGATATTAAGATAATGTTGATGATGGCAAGTAATTTCAAATTTTTAAATGAAAATGGTAAACAGGATAAAAATTGAATGTATAAAAGATAAAGACGAAATAGAAACTCGCTTTGCATTGCAATGCATTTATGTCGTTAATTAACTTTTATTTATCATTAATTGACCAAATTACTGCTTAAATTGACTAATAAATGAAAAAAAATCTGTTCGCATATCGATATGATTTTTTTCAAATTTCAAATAAGACAAATAACATCTTGTTACTCGGAGTATTTTCCCGGTGAGGTGTGACGAAAAAATCTCGTACACTACATCGATATTTATTTGTACGTTATAAATTATAATTAGCATATATTCTATTTTTATTTTTATTTTTATCTTTATTGCATTATATTGCACAACGTAAGATTTTGATTACTCGCTTCTCAACAACATTTACGATTTCTCTCTCTTTCTTTCACGTATCTCTTTTATGATTAACCTGAAATAAAACAAGATGCGAGTTATGTTTTTCATTATAGAATGAGAGATTAAAGAATTTGCATCTAAAATTTGAACTCTGACAAATCACCACACCGGGTCTCAGCTTTTCGGAAAGCAGTGACAAATCAAACAATTGGTTACTTAATTATAGTTAGTAGTGTCTATATTATGCATCCTTTAATGCGCCCTAAAAGTGCATAAACAAACACAGGGGCCTTGATGTACCCTAGAACGTGTATAATATTGTACAAAGTGTATACTATGAAATATAATATATTAATTATAATAATTAATTAAAATGTAATTTATATTAATTTTTAATAAAAAAATAAACTTGTTATTCTTACAGAACTAATTGTGACTCAAGAAAGCATTAAGCATACATACACAGAGAATATCGAATTACACAACATTAAAATCGCTAATTGGCTTCAAATAGACATAAAAAAGCAACAGACATTTTGTGCTGCTTGATAAAAGTGCCACTGTTTTTTGTGTGTCTTGCTTTTTCTCTAATTCTGTAGAAAAAAAATCGGCACACACACTCTAATTACTTACTTTCTTCTTCTAATAACCAAAACATACACACACACACACACTGCGTAAGTACTTCATTATTATATCTATTATTATTATTATTATTATTACTATTACTATTATTATAATATTCCCTCTAATATTGTATGACCTTAACCCTAATACACATACACTCACACAACACTTTATCAAAGTCGAGTCAAGTCAAGTCTAAATCAGTCAGTCAGGTCTCGTTTATTCTGTAGATTTTTTTATTGTTATTATTCTTTTTCCCGCTTCTTTTTCCTGATTGCGTTGTTGTTGCGTTCTGTCTTCTTCTCGTCAATCAATCATCAACACTTTCGTTATTTATTCTCTTTCTTCTTTTATTACTATTTTGTCTTTTCCTGGTTATGAATGTAAAGTGTCTTTTTTGATAAATCAATTGAATGAACAACTGACCGACTGACTGATTTATTTGTTAGTTTTTTTTACTCTCGCTTGAATTCTTTGTGTTTCGTAAATGTACATTTACATCCATTCAATCAATTACCAACAATCCGAATATCATCTTGTTTTCATTGTAATGTTATTATAATTATAATTAGGAAAAACACATACTAACCTGACCAATTATCATTTTTTTCCCTTCATCTCTTTCATGCATTTATTATAAAAATAAATAATTACTTTTTGTGACGGAAATTTTAGTTTATATTTACCTTTCTCTCTCTCTTTTTTTATCTTATATACACGAACACATCCACGACGACCTTTTTTTGAACGCATACACACACAAAACACAAACACACTTGCACTCACACATACGCACACGTTAAGAACAGCAGAACTCATATTACGATCTTAAAAGACCAACACCACCGTAAATTTGTAAATTTGTTGTAAAAGTATAACAATAAACACATACACTTTGAAAGAACGAGAAATAAAATAAAGGTATCTACTTATTAAATAAATTAATAAACGCAATGAAGAAAAGTGGTCAATTCAACAGCAACAACATCACACTTTTATCCTCCTTCTCACTATTCCCATCCTAGTATGGCTTCTCAAATGAGTGGTATACCAGGTGAAGGTTTCATACCTAGTTACGGTTACGACAGTCAACCATCACAAGGACCAATACACTCTCAAATGTAAGTATCTATGTATTTTTTTTAATTTCTTTATTTTTAATTAATTCAAGTTTACAACAATTCGAAATACACGAAATAAGAAAAAGAAAGGGAGACGCTGTCTGTTCTCTTTCAACTTTTTATTTTTTTCTGAAGGGAGACAGGAGACTAGCAAAAAAAAGCGTGTTTGTGTTTCGACCCAAACTGGTTTCGAGTCAAAAGTCGTCAGTGTGTATGCAAGTTGGTGTAGGTTCTCGTTGCGCGCGTGTCCTACCTTACACTTGAGAACATCTAAAAACTTTACCATCCTCTCTCTTTCTTTTCTTATTTCTTGACTTGTGTTTTTCAAGTCGTATGTTTGAAGAGATATTTTGTGTGTATGTGAAGTACACACATGTATTCTTTTCCAATTACACAAACAAGAGTTCATTGCATATTTACTTTCAAAAACAACTACTTCTTGAATAACAATAATAATAAGAGTACAAACAATAATAATAATACATTATCTAACCATTATCATCATCTTTATTCATTCGGCACAGGCCAGTACACGAAGGAAACCATCCAATGTATATGAACCCACCCAAACAAGAAATGGACGCACCACAAAGGCCATATAGGTAATTAACTTGCTTGTCAGGTTTTGAATGTCAATCCGTCAATTTATTAACGGATGATTTTACGATTGATGAATGCTGCAGTTATGTACCAATGACTCCAAGTCCATCAGTTCAACGATCAAACGGCACAAACCCAAATAACACATCTCAAACGCCAAATTCAGTATCTGATCGTAAAAGAATTGACGGCCATCCACCTCCTTTTACAACTTCATCTTTTCCTTCAACGCCATATAATAGTGCCACTCGAAAGAGAAGATCTGACACTTTGGGTTTCCCTGGAGATGCTGGCCCATTCTTCTCGCCCACAAAGCAACACTATAATCTCTATAGCATGGATCGAGCCAATAGGTAATAATATTTATGCTCATCCATTGATAATCAATTATTAAACAATTATTAAAAAATTAATCAACTGATTGTTATTATCAATAGTTATAAACTTCATATAAACTCAAAAGTTGATCGTGGATTCTTCTTGGCTGATAGTGATTGGACTTGCTACCGAAGGAATTATTTCCAAATCAGCAGCGCATTCTCCATTACCCTGAACGGAGCGGCGCATACGCTGAATGAATCCGAAGTACCATGTCTAATCGAAGTTGATGGTCAATTCCACACAGTTTCACAATTCTTGCTTGGAATCACCGCTCGTGTGTCTAATAGTGATAAAAAGATCGAATTGGTGCAACACACACCAAAACGTGATAAAGGTCCTCAAATGGTCCCAATACCAAAACCAATTAGAGCCGGTGGAAATCTTAATCTTAGCTCAGTTGGATCAAATTCAAATATCGTGACGTTTGAACGCATTCAATTCAAGACAGCCACCGCTAATAATGGTAAACGTCGGGCTGCTCAACAATATTATGTAGTATTGGTAGATCTATATGCACAAGTAGAGAGTGGTGAGACTCACCGAGTAGCAACTTCTACCTCGGCTGCATTAGTTGTACGTGGTCGTAGCCCTGGACATTACGCGGATAATCATGAACGTTATAACCCGATGGGCCCTGCTTTCCCCAGTGATCGCAATATATTTCATAATCCACAAAATAATGCACCAGGAGTGATGCCAGGTGATTATGTTGGTTCAGCTTTCCCTCCATATGGCTCATATCCACAATTCACTAGCTTTCCACCCGTGAACAATCCAAGTATGCGAAATGAGGGGGGACTATCATTAATAATGGGTAGTACACCAAATACTCCAACTACGCCTTTCCATTCTCAACACTCGCATCAACCTTACATGGTGCCAAATATCAATGAGGTCAATTCATCGGAATCTTCAAATTCCGACCTCTACCACAATCCAAATATAGAACACAGCTCGCACGATCAAAAGATTCAGCATATACCTCCGCACCATCAACATCATCAATCTCAAGTTGGTATGGAAATGCATAACGTGGAAGGTAAGTAAACATTATTGAATCATTCTGTCAATTAGAATGAATCAATGAAGGAATTAATTAATCGAAAAGAAGTCTAATTTGATTTATAAAATTATATTAACATTTTCCTCTCTTGATGTTTTCAAATTACTTCAATATTCATTCAATTCACCACCTTCGCTTTCGAAAATAATTACCACGTTCCTACTCTTCTCACACAATCTCGCCATACTCTCCGATATCCATGAATGGTGCGTTATTATTTTCCTTTTAATTTCTGTTTTTTTGTTACAGCTAATTCCGCCCATAATTCCGCCTTCTCATCATATGAGTCACGGCATTTACCAACGGGCGCGAATTCAAATAATTCATCATCATCTGCAAAACAATTTATGAAGATTCAAATTCCACAATCATCTTCCGATATACCAGACCATCCTTTAACTTCTCCCGGATTCCATTCTCAAGAATACGTCGAAGGGTTCCAAATGTATAACGGTCATATCCCGAATAATGCATCACACCATCACGGTGGATACCATTCCGACAATGAACAGCACCACGCTAATGGATATCAACGGAACAGTCGAAGCTCACCAAACTTACCAGCCACTGGACGATCTGATAGTGTATCTGGACCATCATCGCAATCTAACGGACATCATGTATCCTCAAGTCCTCAGATGAATAGCGGAGACCATAAGACTGGATCGAGTAATCCAACAACTGGCTCGAATGGTCGACTTGATCATCATGGATCGAAATCACCTCCATCAAATTCGAGTAGTACAAATTCTACCCCAACTTCAGAGTTGGGTAAAAGTCTTGGGCAACTTAATATGAATTACCGTATGGGCAAATTGGAAGAATCCGATAAACTATAGATTATCGTCTAATCAAAAAATCTCCACTACCAATAAATTCACCATTAATCAATATCAATAATTTCTTCAGGCGACACAAAAAACAAAATTATTTAATTTATAATTAATCAAGTATTCTTCCATTATTTGGGTCATGCCCGCGGTATTGTATATATGCCGGTTGTTATATTATTTTGTTTTTTGGGCAGGCAAATGGTTATATAGGGTAGTAATTAATAATAATAAGCCTGTTCCATTTGTATTTTATTTTTTGGGTTAAAATTAGGGTTGGGTTTTGTATACTGTCATTTTTTTTAGAGAAATATTCAAGATTTACACACGCCGAGCGTGTCGTGTGCCTTTTTATTTTTGTTTTATTATTAATTTTATATATTATATTATATTATATTATATTAATAGAGATAGAAAAATTCTCACAAAAAAATTTAATCAAAATATCCACCTTTCTCTTTCTTCTTTAATACACAGTACACACGTTTTTCTCCCTAGCACACGATCACGTATACAAGAAATTTGTGTGTCTCTCTCGTTTCATTATTTATTACATAAAATATTTTTATACATATTAGTTATAATTGATTTTTGTGTTTTTTAGAACACAAAAATCTTTTCATTTTTTTCTATTATAGTTTTGTACAAATTTTGCATTATACTTATAGTTTCTTATATATATATATATAGTTTACTTACATACACATATAAATATAATATTTCCCTTTTACTGATGTTATTATTATAAAGTTCTCTGTGTGTTGTTCTGTGTGTTGTTTATAATTTCATTTAGTTAATTTACTTACAAACAAAATAGCTGGAACTTATTCGGCGATTATTTATTTTTTTTTAAAAAGATACGCATGTTATTCTAACTTGACCCAACCCGATTTCACTTCAATTGTTTTATTAATTATAATTATTACTTGTTATATTATTATTATTATTATTATTATTATTATTATCATTACTACTACCATTATTTATTATCCTTATCATTATCCTTATCACCATTGTTCCCGAATCCGAATCCTTTTATTACTCTTATACAATTCTATTTATTACTGTTATTAATATACTTACTATTATTATATCACATATACACATCATTATTATCCATTAAAATCAATATTATATTAAAATTTTGATTTTTGGGTTTCCGAGATATAATAATGCATTGGATTTTTATTTGTTTGTTTCTAGATTATTTATTCGTGAAATATACATGTGAAAGAGTGATTGTGTATCGCGTAGCATGGAACCTGCGAGTGGTGTATTTTTTTGCGGGGTGATTGTTCTTATAGGAAAACATATAACGAACGATAGGTAATTGTGATCCTGTGTGGAATCTTTTTATCTTGGGTTTGATGAGATTATTCAAAGGTTTGAGAAACGTAATAGGCTATGAAATTAGGTAAAAATCAATTTTTAGTATTGTGAGTCAGGTGATATGATGTTCGCTCAACTACCAGTTTTCATATTATCATAATTTGATCAAAATTTATATCGATCACCTAATGTCAAGCAAATTACGACTACATTAAGAAAATTAGTATTAGTTCGTAATTAAAGTACACAAGCAAGTGTGTTTAACGGAATGTTCCATTCCAAAAAATAAACTATATATAGAGAAAATTAATCATAGGACTTAGTTGAACTGCACTTACTTATCTTTATTAAACCAGACCTTCGTTAAAGCGAACCTTACTGCGCCTTTCATAATTTTTTCATAGATTTGTCTCGATAATCGATATAGACGTTGTGAAATTTTGTTAGGAAACTAGCCAAGCTTTTATTTTGGAATTTGTACGGTTTCCCTTGTCGTTTCACAATGATTCAATGCACTACTTGTAGTGGTTGGTTTTGATCTTGGATTTTTGTTAAATCAATGGATAAATCCATGCGTTGAGTAATTAACATTTGGTTTATAACGATAAATATAGTGACTTTCACAATTATTGTATTACTCCGTCAATATGATTCAAGTATTCATTTTCGATAACAGATTATTATTCTAGCCCTTTTTGTGAATCTACATCAAAATTTTCTAGATTTGCACATAAATTAGTAAATTAATTTGCGTGTCGTATATCGATATGTTGTGCCTGAGATCGACGCTTGCGTCAGATCGCGCTTCACGTGATTATTTTTGGCCAACATTAATCTATTTACCAGCATTAACCTTAATCATAACTCTAGTAAAACTCCTATTCTAATTTGGGCCAAGCGCGATCTGACGCAAGCACCGATCTCAGGCACAACATATGTAGGTGAGTATATAGAACATTAATAACCACAAATTATGTTTGGTTAAAAGTTATTCAGTGTCAAAATTTTACCAATTAAAAATTATGTAGATCACTTAATTTTAAGTATAGAACAGATTCTATTTGGAGTTAGAATTTCAACATGTGAGTGGCTTTACCTGAATCATGATCTACTAGATAATCAAGATAAATACTAACTCTAAGTGTATATATTAGTCAACAACGACAATGTTAAAATTCTTAACATTGTAGCGGTCAAAAATCTATAATTTGACCAAGGTATCGATATTGATAGTGTAAACAAATGTGTCGAGGCGTTATTTGGCGGGTTATTTTAAAAACTTTATTAGTTATAATTTAGATTATCCTGATAATCTAAACCCATTAATATAACCATTAATATATACTAGTAAAAATCGCATTTTTTTTTATCTTTTCAGGGTACCCGGAGTGCCAATTTCATGAACGGATTTTTGGCTCACTCCGGGTACACTCCGAGGAGATAAATTTAATTCTCACTCAAGATATCCTTCCTGACATCCCGCATACACTTGATTCTATGTTTATCATTTAAAATTAAAAATTCTGAGGGTCTCGGAGGGTTATCCACTTTGTTTACTTGTAAATAAAGTGGATAACCCTGAAAAGATAAAGAAAATGCGAATTTTACTGGTTGATAACGCAAGTATTTATTCAACGTCCTCCATCCATTTGGTTTTATTCCAAAATTTTTAAAGCCATTTTTTCTGGACATGGCCAATCGTTATAATAATTCGAAAGTCAAAATTTCCGAGAAGTATGTTCAGGATTGCTCATTTCGTTTGGATAATACAGTTAAAGTTCGATAAACCGAAGGTCTCGGGTTATTCAAGAATAAGCTTCGCTTAATGTTATAAAGTACTATTTATATTATTTTTCGTTATATCAAGCTCCTTGTTAATAGGTTCGTTCCTGAAAATTCTTCGTTTTAACGCGAGTTCGCTTTATCGAGGGTTCGCTGTATCGAACTTTAACTGTACTGGATGCATTTTAAACAGATTGCTAATATTTTTTTTGAGATCTCAAAAATTTCATTTAAATTGAAGAATTTTTGATGTCATCTCAAATATTTTCCACCTTTTAAGCTTATTGATGAAATACATTTAGTTATGATAGATGCAATTTTACAGTAAAAGAAATGCTTAAAGAAAATATTTGTTCTTTATTTATTGATATGTAAGACTGCATAATCAACATATCTTTATTTACAGAACGTGCTTGTGTGAGATTGATTGATTGCATCAGAATGATAATGGTGAAAATAGTAACTTAACACCATTAACTGAATTTGAAAGTTGTACTATTAATGAACTTATCGACGTAATGGTTAATTCCGAACAAATTGAGACACCTTCAACATATTTCTTTAATGAAGTTTCACTATTAATTTATGCTGACTTATTCTTAACTAAGCAATATATTGAAATTGCTCTCTACTTTGAAATTGGATGAATTCTCAATAATCTAACCACTGGATTAACCACTGCACAAACAATGACTGAAACCAAACACTTGTTTAAGAAGAACATCTTTTTACAAAATATTATAGCAAAAATGTTAGCCACTCTAAGAATTTACGACTACTTCAAAAATTTCTCTGGAGTAAAGATGGCACAGTAACTGTTGCAACGTGGTGACAAATAAAATATCACCTAGTTGCAACTAGTTGCGGCTTATAAAATTTTGGAGTTGCAACGTGTTGCAACAGGTGACAAATAAGCGT